ATAATTCAAGACGGGTGCTATAATCCTTGAATTATATTATTTGGTAAATTAATGTTTTAAAGAAGCTTTAATGTTGGGGTGGGGGTTACAGCTTGAGGGTAGAGCACTTGTCTGGCATGCATGAGGCCCCAGGTTCAAGCCCTAGCACTTAAAAATCAAAAAGAGAGAGAAGCTGAGCGTTCGTTACCATGGAACTGCAACAAACAACAAAATCCCTTGCCAGATGCACTTTGCCATTCTTTATCGAATCCTCCTGTTTCCCTGGGGTTCCGGGGCTTCACTTAATGGAGAAATGGTACATTTACATGTGGGCGCCCACTGAGTCCTTCCCAGTAGTCTAGCTTAGTGGTTCTCAGACTTCACTGTACCTGAGGGTTGCTGTAAAGAGCTCTGTACACAGAATCATGTTACAGCATTTTATGAGCAAATCAAAGGAATTTTCCAAGTGAATTTGGACAGTATTTGACTTTTGTCAAGCTTCTGAACTTAAGCTCCCACATAATAACTGACTCTTCAGTGTTTCCCCCTCTCTCCTCTTTTCTTTTCCTGCTTTCCATCCATCCATCCATCCACCTTCCTTCCCTTCCTTTTCTTTCCTCTTCTCCTTTTCTTTTGGTAGCATAACATCCTCATTTTTTGTGTGTGTATGAAATTAAAGCAGTGGTACCTACCTATATTCAAATCAGAAAATGACTAGTGTGTTAAAATTCAGATCTCTTAGAAAAATTAATTCATAAGAAGTGTTCAAAGTGTTCTAGAAAGATCTATCTGAATTTCCCACCCCAGGCTTCCACTCAATTTTCTGTCTTTGGTTTCCCATTTTTAGCTGGGAAAGTGCACCCGCCAAAGCAGCCAGGTTCCCCCGTAAGCACGGTGCATCCAGCCATCTGTAAAGAAGAAAGTAGCATTTTGGCTTCAAAAACCAATAAAAGATAGAGTGAAAATGAAAACGAAAATGATTGGCATAGTAGAGTGTATGGCATTGTAGTCAGAATTTGAAATAAGATTCACCTAAATAACCAGAGATATTCAGTATTTGGTTAGGACTTCAATATTGATAGAGACATGTATGTTTTCTTGAAATCAAAAGAAATTAAACTAGATGCCCAAGAGATTATGAACAAATGAGAATGTTAGCAAAAATCCTGAAAGTAATTTAAATGTTGGCATTGTGCCCATTTTGTTTGTGTCTCTGCCATAGTACTATAAACCAACTTGCTTTGGAACCCATGGTATGGATCCATCAACTTGACTTCTCCCACTCCTGATTGGCAAAAGTAAAATAATTCAGTTCAATATGAAAAAATTTGTTTCCTATTAACATTAAGTGATCAAAGAGCTGCATCTGAAATGATCACACCTGAATGAAGGAAAAGCTCTTTGGCTGGAGCAGCAGGTCTGCGTAGGCAGACAGCCACTGAAAAACTTGCAAGGAAACAATCTCATTCAAGTGCACCCTGCACTTTTCAGACAACCTCATCATTTTAAAAAATTTCACAGGCAATTTAAAGTGCACCGTCAATACAGAAAATAGGGTGTGGTGACCAACATAAGCCGAATGAATTAAGAGCAGTCACAGAAAGTTGTGAACAATTGTATCTGAATCTGATCAACGGTCTTTTGCTTACATTCAGAATTAGTCACCTAGTGAAAAACAAATGCAGGTGAACGTTTAGCCGCCTTGAAAGGAGATAGTTTCTTGAAAGGACCAGTGTTCATATGTGACTCACAAAAGAAGAGTGGCCTTTGGCAGACTCTAACACAAATGGATCAGCCCTTCACGGCTGTGAGTGAAACGAGGCCCAAGTGGAATGGGTAAAATACATAGGATTTGCAAACAACTCTTCGTGCACACAGGTTTTTGCATTCCTATTCTTTGTGGGAGAAACTACTAAAAATCAACCCAGACCTAAGGATGAACACAGAAAATAATCGGGGTGGAAAAAATAAACTTTCATCCGTGTATTAAAAATATAACATAGTGGCATATTTGGCCTTAAAGGATAAGGTGGCCATGATTTTATTCTCTTTTAATGCTTAGTAATATTCCATTGTGTATATATACCACAGTTTCTTCATCCATTCATCTATTGAAGGGCATCTGGTTGCTTTCACAGTTTAGCTATTGCGAATGGAGCTGCTATGTACATTGATGTGGCTGCGTTACTACAGTATGCTGATTTTAAGTCATTTGGATACAGACCGAGGAGTAGGATAGCTGGGTAAAATGGTGGTTCCATGCCAAGATTTTTGCAGGTAAATCGATGGAATTGGAGAATATCATGCAAAGCAAAGAAAACCAATCCCCCCAAACCAAAGGCCAAATGTTCTCTCTGATAAGTAGATGCTGATCCATAATGGGAAGGGGAGAGGCATAGGAAAAATGGAGGAACTTTGATGGGGCAAAGGGGAAGGAGGGGAGGGAGGGTGCATGGGGGCAGGAAAGATGGTGGAATGAGATGGACATCATTACGCTAAGCACATGTATGACTGCACATAGGGTGTGACACTACATCGTGTACAACCAGAGAAACGTAAATTTGTGGTGCAGTTGCGTACAATGAATCAAAAGGCATTCTGCTGTCATATTTACATAATTTAAATTAATTAATTGTAAAGTGGCTGAGCTTTAGGTGCCTCCCTGTGTGCTGATCCAGGTGGGATTTTCAGTAACTCTCATTCTGGGGTGGGGAATGTAAAACTAGAAGACGCCCCTCCCGCAGCACACATAATTGAGGCCTGTGTGCAGCTCAGAGCGCTCCGGCTGCTGGGGCTCCTGGCTTGTCAGGCTCAGCCCTCCCCTACATTCCCCTGGATTCACACCATGTTGTTTACACGTTTTTCTCCCTGATAAGGTTGGAAAGATCCTTGAAGGGCAAGGACAACCTCTTGTTCCTTTTTTTACATCTCCTGTGGTCCTTTGCTTACTGTGGCCACTCAGACATTATTCATTGTTATATTTTTTTTTCAATGGTAACTAGGAAGTGAAAATGAAATAGCAAATTGAGATAAACACTCAGATCTAAAAGGATACAAAATATTGTGGAGGATGCAGAGAATGTGGGAGAAAATGAGCATGAAGATATGTCTAATCTGTGGGACAGGAGGAAATCGGTGATTGCTGTTGGCGTTGAACTTCCTCTCCGAGCTGAACATTCCAGAGACGAGACCAGTTTTGTAGTTGGTAGAGAGACGTTTCCAGCCAAAAACAATCATACCGAGATTGACTCACCACGACCACAAATATACTTTTTGAGTTTGGAAACGAGATTTGAAACCCAATTGTATGTTCTTTTTATAGAAAAAAAATCTCTTTTCTGCTTCTCCTATGGTTTCCCTCTTTTATGGCCCAGGCACGCGCCTATCTATCTATTCTACCTACCTCTAGATGCAGAGTGCAGGAACCATATTTTATTCACATGCAATCCTCTGGGCCTAGCATAAAATAGGTACCTGGCAAACGCAAATGAAGAAATAAAATGTTTCAATTTCTCTGTCAGCTACAAGGGCTTACAAAATTAGTGTGAAAAGCAGCAAGAGTTGGTTTTCAAATGCTGGCAGTTATGGATTTTGAAGTAAGGTGCTACTTAGTACATTATTTGAATACGTGGTTTTATGTGTATTCTATAAGTATGTTGTATACCTGAGCTAACTGTCCAGGTGAAATGTTGTAGATAGAAGATATTCAAAGCCACATCCTCAGCCCTTTTAAACCTCTAGTCAGTGCATTTAGGGGCATTGCATGACTCTTTGCAACCAGTTGTATAAAGGGGGCAATGAAAGTTGGTAAAACATCTTTTAGAAATTCTCACCAAAGTGTAGACTCACCCACACTTACTTGTAGAATGCCAGGACATCACTCTGGTGAGGAATGAGGCCAGGTTGGAGACACAGGCTTCAAGGTGTCACTGCTTTGACACTGTCATTCAGAATGTAACACTTGAGTTTGCAGGTGTTTTTGCAGGTAGTAGACATGTAATGATGTCCCTGTTTCTTTCTCTCCACTCTCTCCCCTACCATCTTCTCCCTGGCAATGCCTTATGTGCCAGTTTTAAATATATATAAGATTCATCCCTACCTCTCCCTGAAAAAGTTTCTTTCTTTTTTTTTATTTTTGGTACCACAGATTGAACCCAGGGGCACTTTACCACTGGGCCACATCCTTGGCCCTTTTTATTTTTATTTTGAGATAGGGTCTCATGAAGTTGCTTTAGAGCCCCACTAAATTGCTGAAGCTGGCCTCAGCCTCATGATCCTCCTGCCTCAGCCTCCTCCTCAGTACTGTATGTTGACTGCCATAAGGTCAATATCACTCCATAAAAGCTCCATCTTCTCTCATTGTCATTGTAGAATGTCTGAAGGAAGGAAAGAGAGAAGTCCTGATGAGCTTGTTGGGTTGGGGACCTTGGCCCTTAGTGCTTCAGAGTCATGTGGTATTCTTTTCAAATTTTATGAAATTAGGGTGCAATTGGAGAAGGGCCTTTGAGAGAAAATGCACTTGGAGTCTCAGCACTGATTCATATGGCTGTGGTTGCCTGAGGGTTAATCTCTAAAGGTCACAGTGAAGTTCTGTTAGAAAGCCATTGGTTTCCAGAGTTGCCAGGATGTCTATGCTAACATTCCTGGAAGCACATTCTGCAGAGTCACCAGCACCTCCATCCAGAGACAGCAGAGCACCTTGGGACTGGAGCCTTCCGCTGGACCCACTGTGCGCCTGCGAGCTTAGCCTCCCACCTTGGAAACTGTCATTGGTTGAAGACTTCAGTAAAAACAGGAGGCAACATTTCCATATGACTGCTTTCCTGCTTTGTCATTTTGAAATTGAAATTGAAAGTCTGAGCAAAATTCAGAACTACCCCAAACAGGATCTTTTAACATCTTTAAGTCATTTTCTTGGAGAGAACTGGTGGAGGAAATTATCTGTTTCTTCAGCCACGCTGATTTCCAGGACAGTGGCCATTTCTCAGGATCTGATTCCAAAACATCTGTTCTGTCACCAGAGCCAGGCTTCCAGTCAGTCATCGGGCTGCTTGGTCTGCACTGCACTGAACCTTCTGACTGAAGGATTTTTATTAACAACATCCAGGTAATGGAATTGCAAGAGAGCTGAAGAGGGCTCTGGATAACAGTCACATAGCAGGCACTGGCCTCTGGGCTCCTTGACAGGGTGGTCCCAGGGCCACTGTGGAGCAGTCATGGTTGCCTGTGGCTGGGAATAAGTGTAGTGGGCCAGTAAAAAATGGCTGTGTCTGCATCTGACTTAGAGCTGTTTTGAAATGCCAAACAGACGAATTCTTGGGAAACTCATTTGCATGAAGCCAGCTGCAACTTACAGAGAGAGAGAGAGAGAGAGAGAGAGAGAGAGAGAGAGAGAGAGAGAGAGAGAATGTGTGTGTGTATTTTTATTTGTGTGTATATATATATATATATATATATTTTTTTTTTTTTTTTGAGCATCTCTCATCCAAATATCTGTAATGCTCCCAAGTTGGACACTTTTGGAGCACCAACATACCTCCACAGGTGAAAAATTCCACACCACAAAACTTTGTTTCATGAAGAAAATTATTAAAACGGTTGTGCAAAACAAACTTCAGGTGATGACCTGTGAAAGGTGTGAATGAAACCTACTTGAGTTTTGTCTTTAGACTTGGGTTTCACTCCCCCCACCCACAATATCTTGTTATTTATGCACAAATATTCCAAAAATCTGAAAAACTTGGATGTCTGAAACTCTTGTGGTCCCAAGCACTCCAGGTAAGGGGTACTCAGCCTTCTGTGGGATGGGACTGGTGGAGAGACTGTCCAGTGAACTGGTAGATGCCTTATACCAGTGGATCTCAGCCAGATCCATTTTGCCCGTGGTACACCCCCACCCCCAGGACATTTTGCAAAGCCCAGGGGAATTTTTGGTTGAGACAACTGAGAGGCCTCTAATGAGTAGAGGCCAGAACTGTGGCAAAATCCCCTTCAGTGCCCAGGACAGTCCTCCAAAACCAAGAATGATCTGCCTCCAAGTGTCAGTAGTGCTGAAGTTGAGAAACCCGTCCGTCAGCCTGCCCCTTTTTCTCATTTCCAAGATGATAAACCTTGGTGGAAGGTGGAAGATAAACTGTAGGACCCCTTAGGGAGAACAGGATAGAAAAGAGATGCAGAAGAGGTGGCAGAGTGGCTTGAAAACGAACTGTTTGGGCCATATCCTGTTTGTAGTGTGTGGGTTGCTGGGTCATAGCCTTTGTGTTACAGGTGACCTGAGTAGCTTATTTTCTTCGAAGCACCTGCATCACAAACTTGGTGGCTTAAAATAGGACAACGCGTCGTCTCTTGGTTCTGCAGGTCAGGAAGCCAACAGAGATCTCAGCACCTGAAGTCAAGGTCCCAGCAGAGCTCTGGGGCTCTGGGGAAGGGTCCCTGTCCTTGCCTTCCCAGGTTCCTGAAGGCCACTTGTACTCCTTAGCTCCTGGCCCTTCCTCCAGCTTCGAAGCCAGCAATGGCCTCTTCCTCGGTGCCTGTCCTCCATTGTCAGTCTCCCTCTGACACTTTGCAGCACCCTCGTGGTTACAGAATATTCCAGAATGACCTCTCCATTGCAAGGTCTTTGATGCAGTCACGTCTGTGAAATCCCTCCTGCCAGGGAAGCCATTTGTAGGTTCTGGGGATTCAGATGTGGACCTTTTAGGGGTACCTGAGTCTGCCCACCACAGACCCTAGGCCCTCAGAGCCCCCTTGTGCTGCCTTGAGCTAGATGTAGAAAAGGGAGGGGGGCTATAAAAATGGATTGAAAACCAGCTTCCTTCCCGTGGAATCATTTCAGTGTTTGAGACGCAGCATTTTTTTTTTTTCTAGTTAACATAGTGTGACGCAGAAAACATTTGGAGGATGTTGAAATGTAATTGTTCAAGTTGGCGAAGACCCATTTCGGAAAGAGAGAATCCAGAGGGAAGCAAGTGGAGAGAAACACTAGACCCGGGGCTTTAAAACTTGAAGGTGCAGCTGAGTCCTTCTCTGGGGGTGAACGGGCTGCGGGTTGAACATCCAGATTTCTGGGCCCCAAGAGCCTGAGTACGCAGCTTGGGGTGGGGCTGGGGCCTGATCCCAGGCTTTCAGGCTTTGCCCAGGTTAAACCCCTGCTCTACCTCTGAGCCACGCCCCCAGACTCTGGGAGCTCCTTCTTCATGAGCAGCCTCCTGCCATGCAGCTAACACAGAAGGTTCCTGAAGCACATTTGAGCGTGTTGCTGTAGAAAGGCGAATAATTATTTTAAAACAAAGCTGCATTTTAGTAGTTTGGTTTTAAAATGAAATCACATTGTGTCATACTGATGTCAGAGGTCAAATGAATACATACTTAAGTTCTTGACCTTCTTGTTTTAGTTGCATTGTAATATATATATATATATATATATATATATATATATATATATATATATATATCAATCTATATTTATATATATATACATATCAATCACTTATATTCAGCCATATTCATATTCCAAATATATAATGATGTTGACCCTTGTGTATTCTTATTAAGAGTGCCATCTTCTCTGTGTGATTAACTCTTATGTTGATATAAACAGGATTTGTGCTTACTAATGTTCAGCAGGAACTAATGACTCTAGGGAATGTTAATATATGCTCTGGTTTCCTTTTTGATCAGTTATAACCAGGCTATCATTACAGGTTTGTTTGGAAGCTTAGTGATACCATTTATGAATTTTACAATAGAGTAGTTACTCAATAAATGTTAATTCTAGAAACAAATGGATTGATTTCATTTTAGGAGTAGAAACTCAAGAGTTCAGAACTCCCATCCACCTAGTCCCTAGGGCCTCCTTTCTGTATAGAACTTTCTAGATACTCTTTCCTTCAGAACATGATTTCCTCTACTGAAGTTCCACAGCTTTGGAAGTACCTCTCTTATACTGCATTACCAGGAAATTGTGCCATTTGTGTATAAATTCTCTTCCTGGATGCAGTGTGAACTTCTCGAGGGCATGATCCATACTGGATTCTTCTTACTGCTGACAAGTGCCTAGATTTACAAAGCCTGTATTCCCAAGTGAGTTGGTGACCTGACATGCAGACCACTGTGTCATCAGAAAGGTATAACTTAGCAGCGAATTTTATAGAAGCCAATTTGAAAATAGTTATTCACTAAGCTTTTTTTCATCTTAATGATGTCATGCTATCAAAAATTAGCCAGAGTAAATTTACTTTAATGAGGATGGTTTGTAATCTAGATTACATGTTCCACATGTAACTTCAAAATGAAATACAAAATTGAGTTGTTGGCATGTGGTTGTGATGAGCAGAAGCAGTTATTACACATTACTCCATGAAATTCATATTCATATCTTGTCAGTTTACAGTGAGGCAGAGCTTAAAAATAACATTTGTTTCTGTTTTTGTAACTGCCTCAGAGATATCCCAAATCATTTCATTTTCTTTAGCTTGACTTTTAGTAGTGTTTTAAATATGTGGCCTTTCAAGAAGTAATGAAATATATCAATACCACTTGGCAGCACCTAGCAGGACATGCTTCTAGGATCATTTGTAATGATTAAAAGTCAAAATGAGTTTTTTAAAAAACTGACCCAAGCTGGGTGTGGTGGTACATGCCTGTAATCCCAGCAGCTTGGGAGCCCGAGGCAGGAGTATCGCAAGTTCAAGGCCGGCCTCAGCAACTTAGCAAGGCCCTAAGCAACTTAGTGAGACCCTGTCTCAAAATAAAAAATAAAAAGTGCTGGGAATGTGGTTCAATCTTAGGTGCCAAAATAAAAAGATAAAAAACTGACCCAAAAAAGAAATCTGAATGGCATGTTGGCTCTTGGTCCTTTCTTCCTATACTCTCGTCTGTTATAATTATCCAGAGCTCTTATTTCTTGTCCATTGGCAACAGGAAGGGAGGGGGTAGAGAGATCAAAAACTAGTTGATGAACAGACTTTTCACATAATCCCTTCCTCGTCAGTGGCAGTTAAATAGCCTACCGTTTGCTACCTGTGGTTTTCAGTTTGGGGAATGCAGCAGGCCCCCTTATCTGCAGGGAATGCTGCCCGAGATCCCCAGGGGATGCCTGGAATTGTGGGTAATACCAAATCCCATATAGCCTATGCTTTTTTCCATCGGCATCAATGCCTGTGATAGAGTTTAATTTAAAAAATCAAGCACAATAAGATATTACCAGTAATAACTACCAGTAAAATAGAACAGTTATAATAATATGTTATAATCAAAGTTCTGCAGGCATGGTCTCTGAGGATCGTCTCCCTGTACCGTAGACCGTAGCAAGCTCAGTGTAGGATTTCTTTTCTTTCCTTGCTGGAGTTGAGAACTTCCACGCATTTGCTGCTTCCAGGTTCCTCCCTGGCATTTCCGGATTGCCAGCGTCTCTTTGCACGGAGTGCGACAGCACGAGATCTCATCCCACTGCTCAGAACGGCATGCCATTCAAACCTTAGGAATTGTTTGTTTCTGGAATTTTCCACACAATCTTTTAGGATCCCAGATGAGTGTGAGTAACTGAAACCATGGAAAGGACACCAGAGGGGAGGGGAAACAATTCATGAGGGATTGTGTCTGTGTTTTCCAGCACCCACTCTGGGGCATTCTGGAGAGCTGATTGGCAGACCATGTGAGCAGCTGGACTTCTGGGTGGGAGGCAAGGGGCAGGGCAAGCCAAGCCAGGAGCGCCAGCAGGCAGACAGGAGGCAAGCTCTGGGTGGTGGAGCTGGGAAGTAGAACTGATGGGTTTAGGTACCGGTTCACCTGGCAGAATAGAGAGAAGGTTGATCCTGGTGTTGCCAGAGTTGAATAGCTAGCGATGTCCCAATACCAAGAGCAGACCTAGTGGACTGAGACCCAGGAACCCATCTCACCCCTGCCATTGCTTCACTAATTTTAGCAGACCCCTTTTTGGTTAAGGATCATAACCAGTGGCACCCTAGGTTTGGCTGGTCTGGCCTGGGGTGTCAGGTGCTTGAAATAAGCATGGGGTGGGGACATATTGCATTGCTGTAGACATGAAGGGAGGCAGAGGGACAGTGTTATGGTTCAGACAAAAGGTGTCTCCCCCTAGTTCCTGTGTTAATGCACAAATGTTCAGAAGTGAAATGACTGGATTGGGAGAGTCACAGGTAACCAGTCCTTCTAGTTTGAATGGACTGCATGGTGACTATAGGCAGGTGGGGCGTGCTGGAGAAGGCGGTCACTGGGGACATCTTCCCTATGGCCCCTCCCTCCCAGATTCCCCCGTCTCTCCCTCATTCTCTGCTTCCTGACACTGCCTTGAGAGAGCAACTCTCCTCCTCTGGTCCTTTCCCCCCACGATGTTCTACCTCACCTCGGGCCCCAAGCAATGGAGTCAGCCCTCTGTGGGCTAAGACCTCTGAAACCACGAGCCTCAAATAAACCCGACCTCCTCTAGGTTATTCTTGTTGGATATTTTGGTCACATTGATGCAAGGCTGACCAAAACAGTGCAAGCCTCGAGCCGAAGCAAGTGTGTAATGTGGAAGGCAATTTAGTTAAGTTTTGCTGACTTAAGATGGCTCCCTTTGGATTTCCAGAGCAATGGGAAGAGTTTGGTGTTTCACCAAATAAGTACATCAGCCCTCTGCAGATCGGTGACGGTGATTCAGAAAACTCTCTGTGGTACAGCACTCGGAGGGGTCTACGGAGATGGAAAAAGAGAAGAGTGTTTCACAAACTATAATTACTTAAATGTTGCCATAAGTAAATATTTTAAATACACTAAAATGGCAACTTCAGGAAATATGACTAAGAAGTCAAAAGTATGCCACGCCCTTTCCCCCACCTTTGTGGTGGTTGAAAATTTCCACCAAGAATGATGTATGCAAAAAAAATAAAAAAATAAAAAGGCAGGGGGTAAGTTCAGGATGTTAGGTTTTAAAAGAAGGCAGAAATTTGGCATGAGTGTGTCAATCCAGGGAAGGAGCTTCCACATGGAATCCACCATTCCAGTTAGCGTTGGTGATGGTCATGGCATCGTGAGCCTTTAGAGTGGTCTCCTTAACCCGCACAGAGGTGTGATGAGAGTAGATGGATGGGCCTACCCCCAGTCTATCCTTTGTTGCCACAAGTTCATAAGCTGTCCCTCTCTCTTCTCACATCAGTTCACATTAGGACAGAACTAAGTCCCCTCCCTGAGGATGTCAGAAACAGCCCCGCGTGGAACTTCTCCGTAGACGCCTTTGGCTTTGCTATGGAGACTGCGCTTCTCTTTAGTAATATCTGAAGCCTCTGGATGAGTTACACTGCTAATCGTGCTTAATTAGGGCTGAAGGGAAAGATGTATAAAAATAAAGTCGACATAAAAAAAAAAAACATGCATATGTTCCTCTCCTCCTCCTCCTCCTCCTCCTCCTCCTCCTCCTCCTCCTCCTCTTCCTCCTCCTCCTCCTTCCCTGGGGTGGAACCCAGGGCCTTGTACATGGTAAGCGTGTGCTCCACCCGAGCCACACTCACCCCCACGCTATGTTCTGTTGTCCTCAACCATTTAGAGGAAGACGGGAGCCTGCGTGACATTTTGTGTTCATCGCTGCGTGAAGTGCTGTGAGGGATCCTCTGGAAGGTCTTAAGAACCATCGAGAGACAGAGGACTCTCACAAAGGAGGCAACACAACACCCAGGCAGAGGGTGTGCAGGAGAGCCTGTGTGGATAGGGTGAGAGAGGTGGGGGAGAGATGGAGTAGTCCGGGAAGGACCCATGTCTGGAGCCTGGCACTGAACAATGATTAAGAATAATCTAGAAAGTACTTGGTATGTCTTATTGGCTCTGGGCTAGCAGAAGGAAAGCTGTCTGAGATGAGAGAAATGATGGGCAAGGCATGGAGGAGCGAAAGGTTAGAAAGCACTGTTTTAGTCAGCCTGGCATCAAAGGGGCTGGGAGTATAACTCGGTAGAAACACTGGGTGCGGTGACTCATGCCTGTAATCCCAGCGGCTGGGGAGGCTGAGATAGGAGGATCACGAGTTCAAAGCCAGCCTCAGCAACAGTGAGGTGGTTAGCAACTCAGTGAGACCCTGTTTCTAAATAAAATACAAAATAGGGCTGCGGATGAGGCTCAGTGGTGGAGTCCCCCTGAGTTCAATCCCTGGTACCAAAAAAAAAAAAAAAAAAAAAAAAAAACCACTTGGAAAGGGTAATGCCACCTCCTGCCTTCCCGTAGTGCCTTAGGGGTGACTGGCATTTTTGTTGGTCTTGTTTCATAAATATGCCTTCCCGGGGAGCAATGGGAGACGCAGGCTGAGGGTGCCTTGAGTTGTGGTTACCGAGCGTCGTTATCAGTGTTCTAGCCCAGTGACCTGTTAAGAAGCAAAAGGTTGAACCTCACAGCATCGGGCACACGTGGCTTTTGAAGGAGATTGCTCTTTCCATGGATAACCAGTCTGCTCAGAGGAGGTGAGGGAACTTTCTGCTCTCTGCATATCTGAGGATGGGCTCTGGGCCGATTCATGAAGCAGCTCCTCTCTTTGAAACAAGAAAATGAAGAAGATAGTTCAGGGTCTTGGAATAACGGCCAGAGGAAGATTCCAGATGACTGAAGTTTAGGAACTATTAATTGAGAAGGATGTAACAGTGAGGCCTGAGAGAATGCTTGGTGTCATGTCCTTGATCTGTCACTTTTTTATCTAGCTCATTGACTTTGCATTGTTTAGTGCCTTCATTTCTTAATTTATCAAAAAGTGGGAATAAAATGCCCACCACCTAGGAGAGTTGGTAAGTCTAAAAGGATGTAATATATTTTGAGGATGTCACGCTCGAGGCCTGGCTATGACTATTATTGCATGTGTACATGACACCCCAAAATACTCGGTTTTGTTGAGTAGTTCTCTGGGTAACTTGTTAATAAATAGACAGTGGCTTCTAATTACGATGTTACTTCAGGGATTGATCTCTTGGAAAAGTTCTTTCTGAGTCTCTTGCAGAGGACTTAAGAAGTTGACTATTTTCCAATACAACAAATCCTTGCTGGATTGTTAAGGTCTAGGTTGGGATAAAGCGTTTGCTAGAGAAAAGAGGAGCATGTCTCATAGGTTATCACCTGGTGGGATCCTATCATGGCTGATGCTTTCCTCCTGCCCCCTCTTGCAAGACCCCAACTATTTTTATAATAATACTAAGACAGACATTATTTATCTGCTTCATTGTCATGAAGCTGAGATTTTTCAGAGGCTCTATGAGGTGTGATGACATCATATAATGAAATGTTTTAATTTTGGGAAAACCCATGTAGTTCAGTAAACTACTTATTTCCAAATGACTAGTGAATTATGTTGCAAAATCATGCACGATCATAGATCCATTCAAAGTACAAGATAGACCAAGGAGTTTTCATATAAAACACTTCAAAGAATTTATTGGTGTGTTTCAGTTTCCAGGTTATCAATTCCACCTTGAGTCTGATACACAAGAAGAGTGTCCACAATTCATGAAAATGGAGGCCAGGTTTTCTTTGCATTCTTCAACCAAACAACATAACCACAGTAAAGTGAATTCAGAGGCACACATGAGAATTTAACCGTTTTCTGTTAAGGCCAATGTTAAAGATATTTGCCAAAACTTCATCCAGTGTCACTGTTCTCACTGATTTTTTTGTTCTGAAAATAGTTATTTTTCCATAAAGACATCATTTTATGTAACGTTCAATGGACATGTTAATTTTGGGGTTAAATGTATTATCAGGGGCTGGGAGTAGAACTCGGTGGTAGGGTATATGCTTAGCATGCCTGAGAGACTTGGACTTGATACCCATCGCACACACCCACAAACAAAAAATTTACAAATGTTTTTAAATTCTCAGTTGTAATGACTCATGCAATAAATATTGTTAAATTTAATCTAGCTAATTTAAAGCTCTTTGGGGTGCCCAATTAGTTTTAGGAGTATAAGGAGGACTTGAGATATTGAGGAGGACTTGAGGACCCCTGGTTAAGGCATTCCCTATTAAGGTTTTTTTCTGGTCAACAACTATCGATGGCCTTCTGGAAAAAGTGTCCTGTGGTCAAATATATTTTGGGCCAAGATGCCTGCTTTCTCTCCTTTTAGAGATTTACAGTATATATGAATGTATTAAAGTCCCTCAAAGAATGTTCCCCAAATTTATTCCCATCCTGAAACCCTCCTTTTATTTTCTATGTAGCATAATGTTTCACAGTGGAATATGACATCCCGCTGAACGCTCTGGCTAGTTTACAGACATATGCTTTCTCCCCATTTTTAAAAAATAAAGCAAGATTTATCAGGTACTTTCCTGTGTAAGTCCATACTTTCTTTAGAGGATGACCCGTGGAAGTTTGCCAGTTGATTTATTTGATTGCCTGTGCTAAAAAAAAAAAAAAAAAAGAAGCCCTGGTGCACCATCATATTATACTGTTTTGCTTATACTCTTTGAAGCTGTTTCTACTTGTGTTTTCAAACTCATATGTTTTTAAAACTCTGTTTTAGACATTTTTGTGTGTTAATTAGTAGCATCTGCTCCTTATGTCATAAG